ATGCAGAGTTCATAGTCCCAGTACACTCACACAATAATGCCTTGGAGTTTTCTGCCCTTACCAAGATCAAGTTCAGCACAGACCTACAGCAACCGGAAGTTCCGTATCATGACTTGCTTATTAAGTCCGCCATTTTGCGCTTGCGCATCAGCCGGCAAAAACGGAAATTACGTCGCAAAATGAAACTTCCACTGAATGTGACATTCTACTTAATGGAGGCAACAGATCAACTGGGAACAAATGAACAGCTTTCAACGGCGTCGACAATACACTCCTTTACTGTAAATACCTTAAAATCCAGAAACATTGAAGTAGACATACAACCACAGTTGCTCTCTTACCTCGTAGATTCAGACAATAAAATTGTGACAGTTGGTCTGAGGATTGAAGAATCCTCTTCAGCGGAGAAGGCAGGTGGGAATTCCAAGACCAAATTGAAAAGTTCTGTACATAACAAAACTGATATCTCCTCACAGGAAAATAATGCGTTTCTGCGTATATCAAAAGCATCCCTGGTTACCAAATCGCAGACAAGAGATCTGCGAAAGGCCAGGACCAAACGGCAGGACGACGACAGTGCTACGTGTAAAGAGAATTTTTGTTGCAGGCATAGCGTCTATGTCGATTTCGAGGAGATCGGGTGGAGTGACTGGGTGCTGTTCCCCACCGGCTACACCGCTCACTATTGCAAAGGAGGCTGCCCCGAAAGGTACAAGATCGCCAGCACTTTCACCAATATCAAAAGTATTTTACACGAACGACACCCGGAGACTGTTCCGGAGCCCGTCTGCGCCCCCACTGACTACAGCTCCTTAGTCATGATGATACACAACAACGGAGAAATCAGAAGCATTGAGTATCCAGGGATGGTGGTTACTGGCTGCCGGTGTCATTAGCTGTTTAAAAAAAAAAATGAAGACTGTTGTATACTCATGAAGGCTTTGCAGCCGCAACGTTTATTTTGTCATTCGGAACTGTGTTTTATTGGGAAGCTGACTGGTTGTATTTGTCTTTCGGGTTGAGTTTTCCAACAGATAATGTCTGGAATGCTGATGAAGGCTTTTTAGCCGCTACATTTATTTTGCCATTCGCGATTGTGTTTTCTCCTAAAATTTGACTAGTTCTAATTCTACTTCTCCTTCGAGTTGATATTTGCCAGGGAAGCGGTTTTAACATCGTTTTGTTGGTGAACTTTGCACACCATTGAAGACCAAATAACTGTGTCGTTTCTAGATTCACCCAAATTCAACGGAAGAATGCTGAAATGTTTTATTAGTAAATGAACAACATAGCGCAAACAGATCATTACGGTCTGAGGAGAATGATACTGCGAGGAGTGGACAGGGGATCTGGCCGATGCTCAATACTCAAGGAAAGGGCAAGACGGATATATGATCAGGCGGTAACTGGTGCCACCGAAATTGAAACTCTTCGTTTGCTGCTAAAGATAAGGACTGAGCCCTTGCGGGAGTGTCCTGAGTGCTATGATGCCGAGTCTTCATTCAACATTCAACATTCAATTACCAACATTTTGTTCAGTGAACGAAAACATTGTTCTCAATTGTGGAGTTGGACTATATTAGTTAAAGAACTCCCAATGGAGGGACTATTCAATGTGTCGAAGTATGAAGCTGAATGATATAACTCATGCGTGCATGTGTGTATTGTGTGCCAGTACCAAACAAATTTGGTAATATCACTAAACTAGCCTTGTCTCGCCATTGGTGAAACGGACAGTATGGTTTAAAAAGGAAACAGAAAAACAGTAAAAGATCTGTTTCCACGCCTGCAGCTATATTAGGAATACAGTGCTGCAGCTAAATTGGGAATACAGTGCTGCAGCTATTTGGGAATACAGTGCTGCAGCTATATTGGGAATACAGTGCTGCAGCTATATTGGGAATACAGTGCTGCAGCTATATTTTATAGAGCAAACAGAACTCGGTGGGTGATGTGGTCAGCTTCACACCAGCCGCCTTTACTTCCTAGGATTTAACCTGGTATCCATTCAAGGTCATTTTTGTTCAGGTATGAACCTACGACTACAGCGAACATGTGAAATACAGTAAGCCTAGCTGAACACAAACCTCACTAGACCATTAAAATAAATAAAATCAAGATTCATATTTAAAAACCAAAAAAATGCACGTTAGCAAGGAGCTATTATTAAAAATAATTATACGTCCCTATTTCCGGTATGGGTTCTAGGGTTCCATTGTTGTGTGAAAAAAAGGGGCGTGTGGAGGGAGGGGTGGGGGTGGGAGGGGGTCAAGAATAGCCCGGCCGCCTCGCCAACAAGCATGTCGTAGAAGTAGACTAATTTGGGAAATCCTTCGAAGTCTGAGTGTGCATCTGCCACAACATCATTCAAGTCTTCTACTATTTTTTTGTTGGTGCAAATGCCTGAAAGCCTGTATGTCCCGTCACCTCATCTCTTTTGTTGTTCTTTGGCTTCCCCCCCCCCTCCCATTTGTTTCTAACTGCCCCCCTCACCTTTTTTTTGTTGCCACTTTTTCTTCCCCTTTCTCTCTCTCTCCCCCCCCCCCCACTTTTTTCTCCTGCTTTTTTCTCCCCCCCCCCCTCTGTGCACCCCGCCCCTTTTGCCCACCCCCCCCCCCAACTTTTTTTTCTATCTGCCCCCCTCACCTTTTTTCGTAGACACTTTTTCTTCCCTTTTATCCCACCCCCCCCCACCCCCCCCCCCACTTTTTAATCCTGCTTTTTTCTCCCCCCCCACCCTCTGCTGCCTCCCCCCCCCCCACCCCGTCCTTGTTTCCTCCTTTTCTTTGGCAAAAATTCTTAGCTTGATTTCTGTTTCTTTGTGGCGGGCGAAACCTGTTTACACACATACACACAGAGACGGCGCTACGTGGTGTTTGTTTGGCTTCTTTCCCCGCGGCTTCACAGAGCGGTAACCCAGCAGGCAACAGGGCACCAGAGCAGCGACCAGCACGAGTTAAACCAAGCACCAGCAACAATCAGCTAAAACCCACTAAAACTGAAGCTAAGAGAGTTGGACCAGACCAGACCCAGAACCCCAAGAACCACACCGGACTTAGGAAGACAAAAAACAGAAATATCAGGTGTGACTTCATACCACAACGAATAGGAAAACCAAATAAGATAGCCATGGAACCTTCCTTCATATAGCAGGCCTCGGGGCGACTGAAAACAGGATCAAGTTTGGAATTTTTGTTGAACAATTGGAATCGGAATTGGATACATACATATACATAGATGAATGGTCGTAGACCACGAGGCATTCCAAGAAGACGATGAAGAGATAATGTGCTGACATACCTGCAGTGTAGGAACTGCTTTTTGGATGAGAAGACCACGGGCCTTTATGAAGTCTGAAGTGCGACGCATGTCTACCGCTGATCCACGCAGCTTGGCGTCTATTGGAATGCCGAATGACCAAACCTGGGATCTCTCTACTGTATACAGAGAGCATGTTTGTAGCACATGTTCTGGATTCCTTGATGCCTCTCCACATAGGACATTCTATATATATATATATATATATATATATATATATATATATATATATATATATATATATATATATATATATAGAGAGAAGAGAGAGAGAGAGAGAGCCCACTTGACAGAGATAAAGTTTCCAGTCACTCCCCTAGACCAGTTCTTATTGTTACTGTTGCTTATTCTTCAAGTGTTGTTACATCTATCATACGATTTTGATACCAATATGTTGTTCTGATGTTGTTGTTGGTAATCTAAAAGTTTACTCGGCAATTAAAACAAAAACAAAACAAAAAGACTCTACCTACTTGTCCATCAACGTATTCCAACAAATTTGAAAGGTATTCTCTGTTTAGAAAAAGCGTTACTTACTGACGAACGCATTTATACGCATTCAATCGCCCACACGCTCACAGCCACTCACATGCACACACATTTGCACCCGTGGATACATACATACACATATACCCGCGCACGCAGACACGTATACTGGACTTTGTGAATAATTATCAACCAGCACTCACTGGTGTGTATACGTATTCTAAAGTGTTAACTGGTACATAATACTTGATTGTATGCTTACCCATAAAGTTAGTTGCGTACCCTTTACAGGACGTTGCAGAACCAACCCTAACAGCCCCTGGCTGTTGTGTGGTTTCTCTAGGCAAGTTACATCCAGTAGTTTGCCATTGCTTCTGGACGGTCGGCTTTCTTGATACCACTGTCGAAACCAACGTAAGGCGCATTGCCCGCAGCTGGGATCGAACCTGGCATCCCGGCATTACGAAGCGAAGCGTTCGCATCGACTTAGCCACAGAGCCGACTTGGGGCATATTAAAATGATGTCAATGACAGAGAAGTAAACACTGTATTCACAAGGAAGGTGAATGGTCGTACACCACGAGGCAGGCCAAGAAGTAGATGGAGAGACAATGTCCAGACAGACCTGCAAACACTTGGTGTCACCAACTGGAAAGAGAAGGCCAACCAGAGAGATTAATGGAGGCAGGTGATATCCGCAGCAATGAACCTCAAGGGCTTTGAATGTTGAAGAAGAAGAAGCAGGAGGAGAAGAAGAAGAAGAGGAAGAAGAAGATGCGTACACAATTGTGTTTACGTGATTGGGTGTCTCTGTGTTTGTTTAGAATGCAAATCATCAAAGAATAGACATAGAGATATGTATGACGTGTGTTTTTGTCTGTGTGTATATGTATATATATATATATATATATATATATATATATATATATATATATATATATATATATATATATATATATATATATTTATATATATATATATATATATATGTGTGTGTGTGTGTGTGTGTTGTGTGTGTGTGTGTGTGTGTCAGTCAACTCACGCCAAGTCGTGTGAATGTGTGTGTGTGTGTGTGTGTGTGTGTACACATAAAAGGCAAATGAAGAATATATATATATATATATTTTTTTTTTTTTCTTCATCTACTTTCTGTCTCCCAATGGAGCATAGGCCCTTATTCAACTCAAGCCAAGTCGCGTGTGTGTGTGTGTGTGTGTGTGTGTGTGTGAGTGATGGCCCAAAGGTTACTATAACAGGACAACACAGTTCGATACCTGTCCCCTTCACTTCTGCATAAGGCCAGTTGGAGTTAGGCTTGTATTCTTCAAAGTCGGAGTGCATCTACATAAAAGGTAAAGAACCAACAGTCTGCAAGAAAATGAGTCAGATCTGTCATTCTGATTGACACGCAATACCCAGGTTCTGCAACGGGACTTCAGTCCAGAAGACAAACGACCACAACTTTCCGCTGGAGTTCAGCCGCTGAACGCAAAGAAGAAAATAGGAAAGTAAAACAATAAGTAAGGAGTAGGTGACATGTTTATTTTTCATATGGGAAACCTTTCAAATACAAATATACAGACAGACAGACAGACAGACAGACAGACAGACAGACAGACAGACAGACAGACAGACAGACAGACAGACAGACAGACAGACAGACAGACAGACAGACAGACAGACAGACAGACAGACAGACAGACAGACAGACAGACAGTCCTACCTACCTACCTACCTACCCACCCACCACCCTACCCACCTACATACCTACTTACCTACATGCATACATACATACACACACACACATTCATGCATACATACATACATACATACATACATACATACATACATACATACATACATACATACATACATACATACATACATACATACATACATACATACATACATACATACATACATACATACATACATACATACACATACATACATACATACATACATACATAATACATACATACATACATACATACATACATACATACATACATACATACATACATACATACATACATACATACATACATACATACATACATACATACATACATACATACATACATACATACAT